AGAGGGCCATGAGACTTAGACCTGAGTGCAAAAATGGAGGCTCTAGACCCTTCCAGAGCTGAGATATCGAAACTCAAAAATTCGACCCGAAAAAAAAAACGACAGTGGTACCCCTTACGTTTTTTTTTTTCGGGCGAAAAATTAAGTTTCTCCAATCTTCTCAAAACTCTGGATTCTGATAGAGGGCCATGAGACTTAAACCTGAGTGCAAAAATGGAGGCTCTAGACCCTTCCAGAGCTGAGATATCGAAACTCAAAAATTCGACCCGAAAAAAAAAACGACAGTGGTACCCCTTACGTTTTTTTTTTCGGGCGAAAAATTAAGTTTCTCCAATCTTCTCAAAACTCTGGATTCTGATAGAGGGCCATGAGACTTAAACCTGAGTGCAAAAATGGAGGCTCTAGACCCTTCCAGAGCTGAGATATCGAAACTCAAAAATTCGACCCGAAAAAAAAACGACAGTGGTACCCCTTACGTTTTTTTTTTTCGGGCGAAAAATTAAGTTTCTCCAATCTTCTCAAAACTCTGGATTCTGATAGAGGGCCATGAGACTTAGACCTGAGTGCAAAAATGGAGGCTCTAGACCCTTCCAGAGCTGAGATATCGAAACTCAAAAATTCGACCCGAAAAAAAAACGACAGTGGTACCCCTTACGTTTTTTTTTTTCGGGCGAAAAATTAAGTTTCTCCAATCTTCTCAAAACTCTGGATTCTGATAGAGGGCCATGAGACTTAGACCTGAGTGCAAAAATGGAGGCTCTAGACCCTTCCAGAGCTGAGATATCGAAACTCAAAAATTCGACCCGAAAAAAAAAACGACAGTGGTACCCCTTACGTTTTTTTTTTTCGGGCGAAAAATTAAGTTTCTCCAATCTTCTCAAAACTCTGGATTCTGATAGAGGGCCATGAGACTTAGACCTGAGTGCAAAAATGGAGGCTCTAGACCCTTCCAGAGCTGAGATATCGAAACTCAAAAATTCGACCCGAAAAAAAAACGACAGTGGTACCCCTTACGTTTTTTTTTTTTCGGGCGAAAAATTAAGTTTCTCCAATCTTCTCAAAACTCTGGATTCTGATAGAGGGCCATGAGACTTAGACCTGAGTGCAAAAATGGAGGCTCTAGACCCTTCCAGAGCTGAGATATCGAAACTCAAAAATTCGACCCGAAAAAAAAAACGACAGTGGTACCCCTTACGTTTTTTTTTTTCGGGCGAAAAATTAAGTTTCTCCAATCTTCTCAAAACTCTGGATTCTGATAGAGGGCCATGAGACTTAACCTGAGTGCAAAAATGGAGGCTCTAGACCCTTCCAGAGCTGAGATATCGAAACTCAAAAATTCGACCCGAAAAAAAAACGACAGTGGTACCCCTTACGTTTTTTTTTTTTGGGCGAAAAATTAAGTTTCTCCAATCTTCTCAAAACTCTGGATTCTGATAGAGGGCCATGAGACTTAAACCTGAGTGCAAAAATGGAGGCTCTAGACCCTTCCAGAGCTGAGATATCGAAACTCAAAAATTCGACCCGAAAAAAAAAACGACAGTGGTACCCCTTACGTTTTTTTTTTTCGGGCGAAAAATTAAGTTTCTCCAATCTTCTCAAAACTCTGGATTCTGATAGAGGGCCATGAGACTTAGACCTGAGTGCAAAAATGGAGGCTCTAGACCCTTCCAGAGCTGAGATATCGAAACTCAAAAATTCGACCCGAAAAAAAAACGACAGTGGTACCCCTTACGTTTTTTTTTTTTCGGGCGAAAAATTAAGTTTCTCCAATCTTCTCAAAACTCTGGATTCTGATAGAGGGCCATGAGACTTAAACCTGAGTGCAAAAATGGAGGCTCTAGACCCTTCCAGAGCTGAGATATCGAAACTCAAAAATTCGACCCGAAAAAAAAACGACAGTGGTACCCCTTACGTTTTTTTTTTTCGGGCGAAAAATTAAGGTTCTCCAATCTTCTCAAAACTCTGGATTCTGATAGAGGGCCATGAGACTTAAACCTGAGTGCAAAAATGGAGGCTCTAGACCCTTCCAGAGCTGAGATATCGAAACTCAAAAATTCGACCCGAAAAAAAAAACGACAGTGGTACCCCTTACGTTTTTTTTTTTCGGGCGAAAAATTAAGTTTCTCCAATCTTCTCAAAACTCTGGATTCTGATAGAGGGCCATGAGACTTAAACCTGAGTGCAAAAATGGAGGCTCTAGACCCTTCCAGAGCTGAGATATCGAAACTCAAAATTCGACCCGAAAAAAAAAACGACAGTGGTACCCCTTACGTTTTTTTTTTTTGGGCGAAAAATTAAGTTTCTCCAATCTTCTCAAAACTCTGGATTCTGATAGAGGGCCATGAGACTTAAACCTGAGTGCAAAAATGGAGGCTCTAGACCCTTCCAGAGCTGAGATATCGAAACTCAAAAATTCGACCCGAAAAAAAAAACACAGTGGTACCCCTTACGTTTTTTTTTTTTTGGGCGAAAAATTAAGGTTCTCCAATCTTCTCAAAACTCTGGATTCTGATAGAGGGCCATGAGACTTAAACCTGAGTGCAAAAATGGAGGCTCTAGACCCCTTCCAGAGCTGAGATATCGAAACTCAAAAATTCGACCCGAAAAAAAAACGACAGTGGTACCCCTTACGTTTTTTTTTTTGGGCGAAAAATTAAGGTTCTCCAATCTTCAAAAAACTCTGGATTCTGATAGAGGGCCATGAGACTTAAACCTGAGTGCAAAAATGGAGGCTCTAGACCCTTCCAGAGCTGAGATATCGAAACTCAAAAATTCGACCCGAAAAAAAAACGACAGTGGTACCCTTACGTTTTTTTTTTTTTTCGGGAAAAATTAAGTTTCTCCAATCTTCTCAAAACTCTGGATTCTGATAGAGGGCCATGAGACTTAAACCTGAGTGCAAAAATGGAGGCTCTAGACCCTTCCAGAGCTGAGATATCGAAACTCAAAAATTCGACCCGAAAAAAAAAAACGACAGTGGTACCCTTACGTTTTTTTTTTTTTTTCGAAAAATTAAGGTTCTCCAATCTTCTCAAAACTCTGGATTCTGATAGAGGGCCATGAGACTTAACCTGAGTGCAAAAATGGAGGCTCTAGACCCTTCCAGAGCTGAGATATCGAAACTCAAAAATTCGACCGAAAAAAAAAACGACAGTGGTACCCCTTACGTTTTTTTTTTCGGGAAAAATTAAGTTTCTCCAATCTTCTCAAAACTCTGGATTCTGATAGAGGGCCATGAGACTTAAACCTGAGTGCAAAAATGGAGGCTCTAGACCCTTCCAGAGCTGAGATATCGAAACTCAAAAATTCGACCTGAAAAAAAAACGACAGTGGTACCCCTTACGTTTTTTTTTTTCGGGCGAAAAATTAAGGTTCTCCAATCTTCTCAAAACTCTGGATTCTGATAGAGGGCCATGAGACTTAAACCTGAGTGCAAAAATGGAGGCTCTAGACCCTTCCAGAGCTGAGATATCGAAACTCAAAAATTCGACCGAAAAAAAAAAACGACAGTGGTACCCCTTACTTTTTTTTTTTCGGGCGAAAAATTAAGGTTCTCCAATCTTCTCAAAACTCTGGATTCTGATAGAGGGCCATGAGACTTAAACCTGAGTGCAAAAATGGAGGCTCTAGACCCTTCCAGAGCTGAGATATCGAAACTCAAAAATTCGACCCGAAAAAAAAACGACAGTGGTACCCCTTACGTTTTTTTTTTTCGGGCGAAAAATTAAGGTTCTCCAATCTTCTCAAAACTCTGGATTCTGATAGAGGGCCATGAGACTTAAACCTGAGTGCAAAAATGGAGGCTCTAGACCCTTCCAGAGCTGAGATATCGAAACTCAAAAATTCGACCCGAAAAAAAAAACGACAGTGGTACCCTTACGTTTTTTTTTTTTTCGGGCGAAAAATTAAGGTTCTCCAATCTTCTCAAAACTCTGGATTCTGATAGAGGGCCATGAGACTTAACCTGAGTGCAAAAATGGAGGCTCTAGACCCTTCCAGAGCTGAGATATCGAAACTCAAAAATTCGACCCGAAAAAAAAAACGACAGTGGTACCCTTACGTTTTTTTTTTCGGGCGAAAAATTAAGTTTCTCCAATCTTCTCAAAACTCTGGATTCTGATAGAGGGCCATGAGACTTAAACCTGAGTGCAAAAATGGAGGCTCTAGACCCTTCCAGAGCTGAGATATCGAAACTCAAAAATTCGACCCGAAAAAAAAAACGACAGTGGTACCCCTTACGTTTTTTTTTTTTTCGGGCGAAAAATTAAGTTTCTCCAATCTTCTCAAAACTCTGGATTCTGATAGAGGGCCATGAGACTTAACCTGAGTGCAAAAATGGAGGCTCTAGACCCTTCCAGAGCTGAGATATCGAAACTCAAAAATTCGACCGAAAAAAAAAACGACAGTGGTACCCCTTACGTTTTTTTTTTTTGGGCGAAAAATTAAGGTTCTCCAATCTTCTCAAAACTCTGGATTCTGATAGAGGGCCATGAGACTTAAACCTGAGTGCAAAAATGGAGGCTCTAGACCCTTCCAGAGCTGAGATATCGAAACTCAAAAATTCGACCCGAAAAAAAAAACGACAGTGGTACCCCTTACGTTTTTTTTTTTTCGGGCGAAAAATTAAGTTTCTCCAATCTTCTCAAAACTCTGGATTCTGATAGAGGGCCATGAGACTTAAACCTGAGTGCAAAAATGGAGGCTCTAACCCTTCCAGAGCTGAGATATCGAAACTCAAAAATTCGACCCGAAAAAAAAACGACAGTGGTACCCCTTACGTTTTTTTTTTTCGGCGAAAAATTAAGTTTCTCCAATCTTCTCAAAACTCTGGATTCTGATAGAGGGCCATGAGACTTAAACCTGAGTGCAAAAATGGAGGCTCTAGACCCTTCCAGAGCTGAGATATCGAAACTCAAAAATTCGACCCGAAAAAAAAACGACAGTGGTACCCTTACGTTTTTTTTTTTTTTTTCGGCGAAAAATTAAGTTCTCCAATCTTCTCAAAACTCTGGATTCTGATAGAGGG